ATGAATGATAGTATTTTTTCATTAATCTGATGTTTCTCATGATTAAAGAAGAAAGAAAATGAGTGACTTTTAAAAAAGCTGTTCATATTTATTCTGTATCTTTTCTTTATAATTCTTATAATTTTTCTCAGTTTTTATGTAAAGCAAATCCACATTTCGCTTTCAGAACAGCTCGAAAGCAGGATATATATATATATATATATATATATATATATATATATATATATATATATATATATTATAAATTGATTTATTTAAAATATGTTTTTTTTCGCTACACAGTTCTAACCATGTTTCAAAAATGGAAACTAAAAGCTACGAATTTAATTTTGTAATTAAATTAAAGACATTAGTTCCATTTCATCCTCAAGCAATTTTGGAGTAACTTTTAAAATTACTGTTTTTTAAAGACACAGCTAAAATCATAATTCACGTTTCCAAGGTTACAGATAAATCCATTTCCATTAGACAAGGGGTGTTTGCGTGTTCATTATGTCTGTATTATTGTATCCGTTATTGGTAGGGGGGTAGGGATGTATTTTTCAATGAAATCTGACATCCGTTGAATGCATATGTCTGGATTTTTAAAAAAATTATATCTTACTGTTCTTTCTTTATTTATATATATATATATATATATATATATATATATTATATATATATATATATATATCCATTTGTCTGGATTCCATAAAAAAAATTTATAAGTTTATGTGTATTTACAATAGAAATAATTTGTAAAAAGGATTAGAAAGAAGTAAATTTATGTTTTTTAAGGTTTTATTGAAATTTTATTTAAGTTTCCACATGTCCTCCATCATTAGCAATACGATTTTGCAGTTCATGGAAAACATTTGCCAACTGATTTACAGTAATGCCTGAAATCACATTAGCTATTTTAGCTTTCAAATCATCTAATGAACTAGGTTTGCTTGCATACACAATTGTTTTCACATGTCTCCATTAAAAAATCTAATGGAGTCAAATAAAATGGTCCACCCCTTCCGATCCACACACACACACACACACACATATATATATATATATATATATATATATATATATATATATATATATATATATATATATATATATATTTCAAAAACTTTGTCCGAAATCTTTATCCGATTTTAAACATATACAAACACACACACACATATATATATATATATTTACATCTATCTATATATAATATTATGAAATGGACAAAGTCCGACAATTATTTTGAGACATTTTTATGTTTATACATTCTTTTTATGGATACAAATATTTAAGTAAATGCTCTGTTTATAATAAACAGTATTAACAACATTTACCGGCCTAAATGTCCGAGAAATTGTCATAGAAAATATGCGTCATCCGACAGGAATCGAACCTGTATCCTATACGAAACCGTCATATAGCCTGGCGTGCCTTAACCGATTGGGCCACAGAGGAGCGTTTCGGTTAGCAAGGTCGATTTTACTGTTTTTAAACTGCAATTCTCCATGATTTTCTCTCATGCATTTATTTATCTATAAAAAGAACGTATAAACATAAAAAATGCCTCAAAATAATTGCCGGACTTTGTCCCTTTCCTAATGTGTGACGTCATTTGGTTACGCATCGAGAAGATATCATGTATTGCTGGTAATAATTTTTTACAAAAAATTATTGCTGGTATTAAAACCTATTGTTACACTTTCATAGTATTTTGACACAAGTTTGAGAGTTAATCAGAGGCCTTGCTGCTGGACGTAGTTTATCGTCTTACCCAGGACGCATAAGTTTTGGCTTTACATTTCTAATCATCACTTTTTAAAAGAATAGACATTGCCGAGGAGTGGAAGTAGTTAAAATAATAGTGGTGTCAAGGGAAAAAATTCTTCTAGCAATTCCGTGTTTTTTTAGGGGGGGGGGAGACGGCCCGAATCCATGTTTGCCGAGAAATATTTATACAGAGTGTATCAAAATACTTTTACAAACTTTTGAGGCAGGTTCCTCACACTAAACAAGGAACAAAGTCCATATAAACATGTCCGCAAATCCTTCGTTTTTGAGTTATTAAATTTAAAGTTTACGGTAGACGCTGTTTGATGTACAATCGGTTTTCCTCGATCCATAATTTGTGGTGCCACAGATTCTGTCTCAGCAATGCGACGATAAACGGCAGCAAAGATTGGATGACTGGAAACGCAATCTGATCCAGCAGTGCAGCCTCGCGTCCAATACCATCCAAGCGTTCGTATTTAAAAATCATATCTACCTACTGAGGATATGAATATCCTGCCATTGTTAAACGGACACTTCTCAGTTGAAGACTAGCCACAAATTACACGAATGACAAATGCAACCTAGTGTAAATGGCAACACAGCGCCATCTACTGTAAACTTCTGACTATTGTCCTTATATTTATTGCCATATTTACGACTTTTACAAACTTTGCGGTCGAATTCCTCACACCAAAACAAGGACAAAAGTCCATATAAACATATATCCGCAAATACTTCGTTTTTGAGTTATTAAGTTTAAAGAAAATTTACGGTAGATGGCACTGTATAGACTAGGTTACATTTGTCATTCGTGTAAATTTATGGCTCGTCCATAATGTGTTTAATGTGTTTAGTAGTGAGTTAACTGAGAATTGTTCCGTTTAACAGGATATTCACATCGCGAGGATATTGTAAGAAGGCAGATAGGATTTTTACATACGGTCGCACGAATGGTAATGGATATGAGGCTGCACGGCTGTATCAGATTGCGTTTTCAGACCAAAGGCAGCCGAGTCATCCAACCTTTTCTGTTATTTATCGTCCCATTGCTGAGACAGGATCCTATGGGTCGAGTCTACATGGGAACACAGCGCCATCTACCGTAAACTTTTTAAAAACTTAATAACTCAAAAACGAAAGATTTGCGGACATATGTTTATATGGACATTTGTCCTTGTTTTAATGTGAGTAACCCGTTCCAGAATTTCTAAAAGTGTTTTTGATACACCCTGTATATCATATTTATTATAAAACCCAGGTTGTGTGTGTGTGTGTGTGTGTGTGTGTGTGTGTGTGTCTGTACGTTTATATATTGGATCGGATTTCCTACATTTTTCAACCGATTTTTAACAAAACTCCACAGGACTACGTAAAATTACCTTGCGGTGGTTCTGACAGCGCCCAAAATTGGAAAAACACAATTGTTTTTGCACAAAATCAATTTGAAAACACGATTAAGAGGCATCGCTGTCGAGAACGAAAGGGGGACAACTCATATCGAGTTATACTTATCATAAAACCCAGGTTGTTTGTGTGTGTGTGTGTGTGTGTGTGTTCCTTTATATATGGGATCGGATTTCTAACATTTTTCAACCAATATCAACAAAACTTGGCAGGTAGTGTTTCTTATTGTCTTGCACACTTTTTTCTTTATTTTTACATTCAGAATGCTTTAAAAATTCCATTTACAAGACAATTGTTTATAATAAAATTCTATTCAATCGGTAGATCCATAACGATTGAAAACAATGTTTTTGTTTGAGTTTGGGTTTGACCAATTCGTAAAAAAAATACTAATTAAGACATGCGTGTCCGTCAACCTTAAACAATAATCTTTGTCAATTTTATTTTTCAGTCTTTATGATGGTCGATACTTGATCTATCTCTTACTGTTACATCCCCGGGCAACGCCGGGCTCTACTGCTAGTATTTGATATTTGTAATTAATTTTATTTCGTTTTTAGACCTGGGAACAAAAGGAATTAAGAAAAGGTTCAATGCTCCTCAAAACAGCTAATCTCCTAATCAAATGACCACGTAGATTATCGTCATGTCAAGAATTTTGGGGGATTAGGAGATCGTAGGGTTACCACATGTACTGCAACCGTAACAGACGTGGATGTGACTAGCGTAAGATAATCTGACGGAGCCCATTCCTCTTCAGACTGCCTTTGAATTTTTAGTTGTTCTCCACTTTGGCTGATTGCTCTACCAAGCCCAGATCGCGCTTCTGTATAACCCATAGCTCGAGGAAGTGTAACCATACTTTTTCCTTCTGGTTGTCAACTCAAGGCAAAAATCCCAGTATGCTTTACTATGTAACCTATTGGCGTGTCTTGGTCAAGATAGTCCAGCGGAGCACAACCCCCATCCGGTTAGGTTTGGATTGGAATTTTTCTTTCTCCTAGACTGGTTGCCAGTTCAAAGCAAAATTGCCCAATTTGCTTTACTATTTAACCCATAGCTAGTGGATCCATGACTTCTCCTGAGGGTGTTAATGTAAAGTGAGCGAAAATACAATCGACCGGAAATTGAACTAGGTTCGACGATTTCAATTTCTAAGCCTCTCACCTTTTGCACTCTCAAAGTATCCAACCAACCATTTCTAACGAACGTTTAGTAATAATATCAGAATCTGGAAATGGTTCGCCAAATGTTTGACCTCACCAGAAATTGCAAGAACTATTTTCAGCGGCGGATGTAGTGGCGAAACTTTATATTTTTGCCTCATTACGCCTGCCAAGATGGTGTGAAATTACATGACAAGAATGATTTTTTTTCTTCTTTTTCATAGTTTTCTTGTGTGTCTGGGGCACGTATAAGTGTTTATAGCAGAAAAAAAGCGTGCCATATTTATAGAAAACAATCTCTTTTGTCGGAGTTATTAATTTTGCGATACTGTTACGTCAGAAAGGCCCATTAAAACTGTGTGAATTTTTTAGAGGAAGTGTCGTTTGTTGTTTTCGTTGGTTATATGACGACGTTCTGGTCGTTGTAATTTCCGGCTTTCCTTCTGTTTGAATTTCTAAGGTGTCTGCTGTTATATTTATCCATTCATTAGGAAGGCCTCTGAAAATTTCACGGTTTTCCTATTTGAATTTTCTGATGAAATTTGAAATTAACTTTTTTTTTCATTTTACTGAAACAGACGTTAAACATTTCTATCTTCGCTTCTTTCTTTCCTTCTCTGTCCATACGTCCAAAACGGAAAAGTCTATTATTTATGAGGTACTGGCAGGAGACGTTAGACTCATCTTTCTTTCTTTCTTTCTTTCTTTCTTTCTTTCTTTCTTTCTTTCTTTCTTTCTTTGATTCATTCATTCTTTTATTCATTCATTCTTTCTTTCTTCCTTTCTTTCTATCTTTCATTCATTCATTCTTTCTTTCATTCATTCTTTCTTTCTTCTTTCTTTCTATCTTTCTTTGATTCATTCATTCTTTTATTCATTCATTCTTTCTTTCTTTCTTTCTTTCTATCTTTCATTCATTCTTTTATTCATTCTTTCTTTCTTTCTTTCTTTTTCTTTCTTTCTTCCTTTCTTTCTATCTTTCATTCATTCATTCTTTCATTCATTCATTCATTCATTCATTCATTCTTTCTTTCTTTCTTTGATTCATTCATTCTTTTATTCATTCTTTCTTTCTTTCTTTTTCTTTCTTTCTTCCTTTCTTTCTATCTTTCATTCATTCTTTCTTTCATTCATTCATTCATTCATTCTTTCTTTCTTTCTTTCTTCTTTTTTTCTTTCTTTCTTTCTTTCATTCATTCATTCTTTTATTCATTCATTCATTCGTTCTTTCTTTTTCTTTTTTTCTTCCTTTCTTTCTTTCTATCTTTCATTCATTCTTTCATTCATTCATTCTTTCTTTCTTTCTTCTTTCTTTGTTTCTTTCTTTCTTTCTTCTCACTGAAAGCAAATAGTGTCTTTTCCCCTCTTTCCACGCATCAAAACGCAATAGTCCTTTATATATGGGTTCTAGGACATTTGCGTCCCTAAACAAATGCATCCCCGGATGATTACGTACCTCTGATCAATTTTTGAAGCTTTTAAAGGCAATTACCATAAATTTAAAAAAACAAAAAAAAAAAAAAACTAGGTAGTAATCATATATTTTTTTAAAAAACAGAAATAAAAGGAATAAAAAAAAAAATAAAACTTTATTTTTGTTTAAAATGCAATGACAGATTAAACCTGTTGCAAGAACGCTCTATACATCGCCAGGAAGTTTTTGTTTCATAGGCGTTTTTTTTTATTATAGTGGTTGCTGTAATTTTCCTCGTCCACAAATATTTTTCCACCAGTGTTTGATTTTCGGAACTTGGCCATGGGTTCCAAATAAAAATATAATCTATGAAATTCAGAATCTATTCGATGTTTGTGGTACGCACTGCTGGAGTGAACTGAAATTGCTAGCTTAATTTTCTCTTGATTTAAAAAAGAATTTTTTCTCTCAATTTTAATTTATGGTAACTACCTTTCTGCTTGTTTAGAGTAATTAAAGGTATTGGTGTGCAAATTTCTATATTAAACAACTCTTTAAAAAAAATGGTAACTTCAAAAAAATATCAGACGTACGCAGTTATCTAGGGACGCAAATGTTCAAGGACGCAAGTGTCTGGTACCTAATTGTCCGGGACGCAAATATCCAGTACACAACGGCCGTCCAGTGTATGACGATAAACTACATCCGCGTCCTGGGTAAGACGATAAACTACATCCGCGTCCTGGGTAAGACGATAAACTACATCCGCGTCCTGGGTAAGACGATAAACTACGTCCAACAGCAAGGCCTCTGATGAGGAGGTTTGGAGGAGCATGGAACCTCCTCTTAATTGCTGGTGTTCACAGGTCCAAACTGACCCCGGGTGGTAGCACCTGTTAGGGTCCCAGCTATGGGTAAATAGTTAACCCCCAAATTGGGTTCAAAACACTATGAAAGTGTAAAAATACCAGAAATACTTTTTGTAAAAAAATTACCAGCAATAAATTTTTCAGAAAAAATTATTACCGACAATACATTATTACCAGCAATACATTTTTGAAGAAATTACCAAAAATAGATTTTTGAAGGAAAAAATATTACCAGCAACAAAAATTTTGTCGGCATTAAATAAACCATTGAGGTTGATATGCCGTAAAACAAAACAAACCAAACCAAACCAGTACGCAACTGTCCGTCCACCATTATTTATGAGGTATTGGCAGAACGTAACGGTCGTGCGAACTAACGAGGGGGTTGTGCAATAACAATAATAGGATTCGTCCAGACCAGTTTCCTCGTTCCTTGTCTGTATCGAATATTCTCACCATGTCCATTTGCAATAACCTGTTGTCGCTTATCTGGCAGCTCTTCGAGACTATTTCAATGAAGTTCCGCTGGTTTTTGATGCGAAAAATGTTTCTGGGGATTTCCTAAATCCTCGCTACCTTTTGAGTTGAATTCTACGTCATCAATTATATAGGTGACAGATGGCTATAAAAAGGTGCTGTTGATTATTTACGGCTAATTTCTTTAAATAATCCATCGGCTATTGTTTGGGTCACGAGGCAATAATTTGTAAGTAAAATGTTGAACTAAAGTAAGTAACCAAGTAATCATTTTAAGTTCTCTGAACATCGGCGTCATAAATAATTTTCGTTTTCATGTATCAACGTTATCTTTAAATAAATAAAGTTCAATTCCATTTATTAACCTACAAAAGTCACGAAAGGTCGAATGAAAGCGGATTTATGATTAATCAGATGACATGCGGAAAATAAAACGCTAAACATGTATATCCATACACGCAAATAACTTGAAACTGACATGGAGGTGCCGAAAAGTACTCGACCTGACCACAATGACCTTCAGATAAATAAATAAATGAAACTGAAATAACTTAAAAGAAAGGAAAAAAAAAATGTCATTTGGTTTTCAAGAAGCGACTCAGATAATTTCCGCTTTTTTTTTGTCTATTTTATTCCTTTAAAAATAAAATGACAAATTTGCAATGACTTGTCGCTTCCCAAGCGGCTCTTCGATTCGTTTTGTGTGACATTCTGCAGGTTTTAAGGAGAAAACGTTTTCGATGAACTCTTCAGAGAGAATGATAGATAAACAGAATGGGAATGAGAGAGGGAGAGAAAGCGGGAGTGAGATGAACACAGAATGAGAGAGAGAGAGAGATCATATTGAAATGTTAAGAGATAGAAATATAGATATGAATAGAAAGAGATGTAGAGAGAAAACTGAAAGAGCTCAGGCAAATAGATAGATAGATAGATAATGAATTGGCTGAGAGAGATAAATAAATAGATATAAACAGAAATAGATAGATAGATAGATAGATAGATAGATATGAATAGGCTGAGAGAGATAAATAGATAGATATGGCCATAGATAGATAGATAGATATGAATAGGATGAGAGAGATAAATAAAAAGATAGATATGAACAGAGATAGATAGATAGATAGATAGATAGATAGATAGATAGATAGATAGATATGAACAGGCTGTCACGAGTGGTCGAATGAAGGCGGACTTATGATTAATCAGACTACACGCAGAAAATAAAACGCTAAACATGTATAGCCATACACAAATGACTTGAGACTGACGTGGAGGTGCCGAAAAGTACACGACCTGACCACAATGACCTTCAGATAAATAAATAAATAAAACTTAAAAAACTTAAAGAAAAAAAACTTAAGTTTGGTTATTTGGTCTCATGTCAAGAAGCGACTCAGTACATGAAAATTTTCAGCACCCCAGTTCATGTCTTCGTTTGAGTCACAGATAATTTCCGCTTTTGTTTGTCCTATTTATTCTTGAAAAATAAATTACATTTTACAATGGCTTGTCGCTCATCAGCCAACTTTTTTTTTACAGTGATCTTCATCCTGTACAAGGCCCGGAGGCCACTCAAGGTAGAGTATTACAAAGTAAGAGGCACAGTTTATGCGGGTAAGTAGGAAAGATAACGGTTAAGATTGAACTGGTTAAGATTGTAGTGATTGGGAAAACACCCTTTTGGAAGACGATTGCACAGATCGGCCGTTCATGGGAAGATGCTGCTCGAGTGGAACTTAGGTCTCACCAATGGAATACGAAGGGAATGAGGGTGATTTGCTACAATGGGCGTGGCATGGCTGGTCTTAGCCGCGGCATTTAGAACTGGTGGAACTCAGAAATTTAGTTCGTTTGAACACGTTCCATGGAAATAACGATAGAGCAATGAGAGGCTTGCGAGGTTTCGTCTGTGAGGAAAGGGGTTGTAGGATGGAAAATAATTCATCACCCACAAGGACGGGGAGAGGCTTATGGACGATATCAAAACGGGAAAGCGAAGACTGGGCAGCTCTTGTTCATATATGGGAACCGTACTCCATTTTGGACTTATCTGGCTCTTATAAAGATAGATGATAGCACGGGGTGTCATGTACTTACTGGTGCGGTACAGAGAGCCGACCATTTTTCCAGCATCTTTCGCGATGGATCATATGTACGAGCTTCACTTGAGGTTTGGGTTAAGTTTGTCCAAAGAGGCACTCAAGCCTATTGGGACAAGCTCAAGCAGAGCTCGTACACCCTTGTGCAAATTAATTGAAACAACCGCTTTAGTTTCCTTTCTTTCCACCTACGGTCAGTTTTAGACCCACTGGAGTGACAGGGTGTAACCGATATCTATTTTTTCCTCAGATTAGCTCATTTGCAGTGGTGTGCAGTAATATGAATGCATTTTAGGGGTGTACGATGAAATTTGTTTGGCCTTGAAAAATATTGCGTCATCCGTGATTGCATTAGATTTTTATCACGCTCAGACACTATTGACTCTACTGTCGATTAGTTGTCCTACGACCATTGTCTGCGATGGACGTTACTCCAAGGTAGCGTACGAAAATTATAACGCTGGACGAACACACTAGCAAGCCTAACCAGTGAGCAAATCAAAGTACTATAGACTGGCCGGGAAACTCTCCTGATTTAAATCCAATCGAGAATCTGTGTTCAATCTGCAAGGAACGACATCGTGGAATGGACATACGAAGTACTAACTTGTGCACTGGGTTATGTTTCTTTGGAAAAATACAAATAATAATAATAATAATAATAATAATAATAATAATAATAATAACGGAGTTATTTGTTTTGTTTCAATTAATTTGCACAAGGGTGTATATACTCCCTGAGGGAACATGTATTCATCTTGATTGGTGATAGTTCACGGTTCGATCGGCGATGATGAAATGTAACTAGTTTGGTTTTCGAGGCAGTAAATGTAACTAGCCAGTGAGATGTTAGAGCTAAGTCATAGGAGAGATCTGCTACAAATCTCTGGTTATCTTCGATAACTTCTGAGTGAAATTCTGCAGGTTTTCATATGAAAAATATTTCAAGGAACAGTTGTATCTGGTTTTCATAAGAGAATGATTTGCACATGAAAATGTTATGCAGAGATAAAAAAAAAAAAAGAAGTTAAAAATACCACGTGAATATGGCAGGTGGGGCAGAACAGACTAACCGAGTTCCAAAAAATTTCCTGTGTTATCTTTGCTGTTTGCGGTCTTGTGTTTTCATGGTGGAGAACAGCATTTTTCCTTTAATCCACGGTGTACGCTGCCACTGCTATACAGAAATTCAGATATGTTAATGTACTCCAAATTTATTCTTAAGTGGCATTTATGGTTGGTAGTTAGAAGAATATATTTGGGATTACAATTTCCCAGAAAAAGCAATTACTTATGACTTCAGTGTGGGATTGCCAAGTTTCAGTTTAACAGGAAATTAATTGTACAGGTTGGTCCGAAAGACTTGTCACCCCTACATAATATAATTTCCTATTTCAGATGACTGACACGAAAATGATGGTGTGTGACAGCGTCAATGAAAGTGAATAAACTGAATCCAGTTCGTGTGCTTTGTATTAATGTAATGCTCTCCTATAGTTCTCATTACTTTGTGGTAGAGGGTGACAAGACTTTCGGACCACCCTGCGTAAATAGGAGAGAATTAGGGAAAGATAGAGAGTGAAAGAGGGACAGAAAGAAAGGAAGGAAGAAGGAAATCATGAAAAATATGTGAAAATAAGAGAAAAGAGACAAAAGAAAAGGAAAGCAAAAAAAGAAAGAAAGAAATATAAAAGGAATTAAATTTTAGGAGAAGAGAAAAAGGACTTAAAGAAAGAAAGAAAGAAAGAAAGAAAGAAAGAAAAAAAGAAAAAAGAAAGAAAAAGAAAGAAAGACAGAGAAAGAAAGGTAAAGAAAGAAAGAAAAAAGAAAGAAAGAAAGAAAAAGAAAGAAAGGAAAAGAAAGAAAGAAAGAAAAAAGAAGGAAAGAAAGGAAAAAGAATGAGAAAGGAAGGAGGAAGAACTGGAGGATAAACAAGAAAGAACCAAGGAACGAGAAAGAAAGAAAGAAAAATGGAAAAATAAGCAAGGAAAGAAAGCACTGAAAAAAAACGAAGACAAAAGGAACGAGAAAGAAAGCGGGAAAAGTGAAAGAACGAAAAAACTTGCAAGAAAGAAAAAAAGAAAGAAAGAAAGAAAAAAGAAAGAAAAAAGAAAGAAAAAAAGAAAGGTAAAAACGAAAGAAAGAGAAAAAGAAAATAATATTAAAAAGGGAAAGAAAACAAGAAAAGAGAAAAGAAAAAAGAAAAAGGAACAAGAAAGAAAAAAACGTATGACAAAGAAACAGAATGAATGAAAACAAATGAAAGAAATACGAAAAAGTAAAAGAAAAAGAAAGACAAAGAAAGAATTAAATAAATAAAGAAAGAAAAAAAGCAAAGAAGAAAGAATATATAAAGAAAAGGAAATAAAAAATAGGAAAACCTATTTTCCGAACGACTAGAATGAAGTGAAAAGAAAAGAAAGAAAAATAGAAGCATTAGTCGATTGGGAAATTTTTCCTGATTAAACAAAATGTCGTTTGTCTTAATTGAATTCATTACAATAATGTTCGGGAAAAAATTAAGAGGCCGGTAAATTCCACCCATAACGCTCAATTGGAGATGCTATTAAAGGAGCTTCCGAACAATTTCACTATCTATCTATCTATCTATCTATCTATCTATCTATCTATCTCATTCTGTCCATATCTATGTATTAATGTTTCATATCGATTTAAGTCTATTGATATCGATAGATATTAATAGATTGAAATGGAGGAAACCCTACGACCACACCCGTTCATTGGCCTGATGATGATGAGGATGGTGATGATCTAAAGCCAAGTGGGATACTTAATCCAAACTTAACCTCTTTTCGACTGATGCTTCAAAGAATCGTTAAGTAAACCCTCCACAACGGTCGAACATGGACTTAGTTTAGCGTTGTATGTCTGGAAACGACGTCCGTCCCTTGTGTGAAATTAATGAAAATCTTATCTAAACATACTGGATAAGTTCCCATGTGCCCCAAATCATATGAGTCAGTTGTGGGGTTTTCAATCCGATAAGGACCTAGAACACGCTGACTGGCTAATTTGCATTGAAGACAATGGCGGATCTTTTCTGTTAATTCACCCCAAAATATTAATTCTCCACTAAATAAAAAGAATTTATATTTACTCGAATTCACACCAAATTCTCTCAGAGTGAGATCCTTCCATTGCACTCCGGTTGGGTTGGCCTTTTCGATCGCCCCAAAATGTGGGCGACTCGGGTGCGCTATTTTTAAGTGTGAGGTCTACGTTCGCGCTCACCCCGATAAACAAGCCAAAAACAAATTTCTTTCTTCTTTTCTTTTAAAATTGTAAAAAAAATTCCTTGTAAGTACGTCGAATATCATTATTTTTGGTTATTTTCTTGGAATTGTTGCGAGGCAAAATAAACAAATTTTGACTTAAAATTCATAATTTCTTGGAGGTGAATTAATATTTTGCGATAAGTAATTTGATATTATTTGGGATGAATTAACAGAAAATTGACATTCAACTGCGACTGTCCAATTCACTGGAGCCCCACCTCAACCATAAATCCCGTCAATAGGTCGAAACAATCATCCAACCCTCAAATGGAAATGTTTTCTATATAATAGTATTTGTGAATGTTCGGGTAATATCTCATTTGAAGCTGTAAAGTATTTAATTGCACCGATGGTTGTGGGAACTTTTTGCTTAATAAGATTGACAGTATTTACATTATTCAGACTATTGTCCTCATCTTTGTCGCTATATTTATTACAACGTTTCGGCCTTTCAGTATCTGTCCACATTTCTGAGATGAGGTATTATGTACATTATTTACATTATTCGGACTATTGTCTTCATCTTTGTTGCCATATTTATTACAACGTTTCGGCCGTTGTACGCTCCGACCTTCTTCAGGTGGTTGGAATGTCGAACTGAGCCCTTTATTTCGCTCGCTGGGGTAGACTGTTCTAGTTCCACGTGCCATGTTTAATGGATGTCAGTTATCAGTTATCTCCTGTTAATTTCCATCTGAAAATTCTCCACTGTCTTAACCGAGTATTGAACTCACACACTTTGGGTCCTGTCACTGGATCTAACTAACGCTTTTATCCACTGTCCCATGTGTCCTTGCAACAATTCCAACACTCAGAATAAAAAAATAACAAAAAATAATGATATTCGATGTACTTACAAGGAATATTTTACAATTTAAAAAGAAAAGAAAGAAATTTGTTTTTGGTTTGTTTATCAGGGTGAGCGCGAACGTAGACCCCACACTTAAAAATAGTGATAACTGATAACGGACATCCATTAAACATGTGCGAAATAAAGGATTAAGTTCGACATTCCAACCACCTGAAGAAGGCCGGAGCGTACAACGGCTGAAACGTTGTAATAAATATGGCGACAAAGATGAGGACAATAGTCTGAATAATGTAAATAATATATATATATATATATATATATATATATATATATATATATGCTTTTTTAGGTGAAAATGGTCATTAACTAAAGATATCTCAATTGCAATTGTAAAGAAAATTTGCTCTGTTTAATGAAAATAAACATTGAGCGCTCTTTTGTGAGACAGTTTCAAATTCTATGCTGTGTTAATAGAACACTCCTGGGTTATATGAACGGATTACTACCTATATATATATATATATATATATATATATATATATATATATATATGGGGTTGTGGGGGGTGTAATGTAATTAGTGTACATAATACCTCATCTCAGAAATATAAACAGATACTGAAGAGCCAAAACGTTGTTATAAATATGGCAACAAAGATGAGGACAATAGTCCGAATAATGTAAATAATGTACATAATACCTCATCTCAGAAATGTAGACAGAGACTAAAATTGACAGATAAGAATTGTTAATTGTTAATTAATTTATTGGTATATTTTTGATAAATTAAAGTTGTGTGAGGGAAAATGCGACGAGATCTGAGTTCGCTGGACTAGCGAAAGAAGCCCTCAAAAAATTTCAATGCAATGTCAATCGTTATCTTCTGTCTTCTTAATTCCTCTTCTTTTATTGTCCTTTCCCCTCACTAAAGTCTTCTAATTCTCTTTCACTCTTCTTACTTTCCAGTCAACTTTGATCTTCAAAAATTTCAATGCAATGTCAATCGTTATCTTCTGTCTTCTTAATACCTCTTCTTTTATTGTCCTTTCCCCTCACTAAAGTCTTCTAATTCTCTTTCACTCTTCTTACTTTCCAGTCAACTTTGATCTTCCAAAATTTCAATGCAATGTCAATCGTTATCTTCTGTCTTCTTAATTCCTCTTCTTTTATTGTCCTTTCCCCTCACTAAGGTCTTCTAATTCTCTTTCACTCTTCTTATTTTCCAGTCAACTTTGATCTTCAAAAATTTCAATGCAATGTCAATCGTTATCTTCTGTCTTCTTAATTCTTCTTCTTTTATTGTCCTTTCCCCTCACTAAAGTCTTCTAATTCTCTTTCACTCTTCTTACTTTCCAGTCAACTTTGATCTTCAAAAATTTCAATGCAATGTCAATCGTTATCTTCTGTCTTCTTAATTCCTCTTCTTTTATTGTCCTTTCCCCTCACTAAAGTCTTCTAATTCTCTTTCACTCTTCTTACTTTCCAGTCAACTTTGATCTTCAAAATTTCAATGCAATGTCAATCGTTATCTTCTGTCTTCTTAATTCCTCTTCTTTTATTGTCCTTTCCCCTCTCTAAAGTCTTCTAATTCTCTTTCCTCTTCTTACTTTCCAGTCAACTTTGATCTTCCAAAATTTCAATGCAATGTCAATCGTTATCTTCTGTCTTCTTAATACCTCTTCTTTTATTGTCCTTTTCCCTCACTAAAGTCTTCTAATTCTCTTTTCACTCTTCTTACTTTTCCAGTCAACTTTGATCTTCCAAAATTTCAATGCAATGTCAATCGTTATCTTCTGTCTTCTTAATTCCTCTTCTTTTATTGTCCTTTTCCCTCTCTAAAGTCTTCTAATTCTCTTTCACTCTTCTTACTTTCCAGTCAACTTTGATCTTCCAAAATTTCAATGCAATGTCAATCGTTATCTTCTGTCTTCTTAATTCCTCTTCTTTTATTGTCCTTTCCCCTCACTAAAGTCTTCTAATTCTCTTTCACACTTCTTACTTTCCAGTCAACTTTGATCTTCAAAAATTTCAATGCAATGTCAATCGTTATCTTCTGTCTTCTTAATTCCTCTTCTTTTATTGTCCTTTCCCTCTCTAAAGTCTTCTAATTCTCTTTCACTCTTCTTACTTTCCAGTCAACTTTGATCTTCCAAAATTTCAATGCAATGTCAATCGTTATCTTCTGTCTTCTTAATTCCTCTTCTTTTATTGTCCTTTCCCCTCACTAAAGTCTTCTAATTCTTTTTCACTCTTCTTACTTTCCAGTCAACTTTGATCTTCCAAAATTTCAATGCAATGTCAATCGTTATCTTCTGTCTTCTTAATACCTCTTCTTTTATTGTCCTTTCCCTCACTAAAGTCTCCTAATTCTCTTTCACTCTTCTTACTTTCCCAGTCAACTTTGATCTTCCAAAATTTCAATGCAATGTCAATCGTTATCTTCTGTCTTCTTAATTCCTCTTCTTTTATTGTCCTTTCCCCTCACTAAAGTCTTCTAATTCTCTTTCACTCTTCTTACTTTCCAGTCAACTTTGATCTTCAAAAATTTCAATGCAATGTCAATCGTTATCTTCTGTCTACTTAATTCCTCTTCTTTTTATTGTCCTTTCCCTCTCTAAAGTCTTCTAATTCTCTTTCACTCTTCTTACTTTCCAGTCAACTTTGATCTTCAAAAATTTCAATGCAATGTCAATCGTTATCTTCTGTCTTCTTAATACCTCTTCTTTTATTGTCCTTTCCCCTCACTAAAGTCTTCTAATTCTCTTTCACTCTTCTTACTTTCCAGTCAACTTTGATCTTCCAAAATTTCAATGCAATGTCAATCGTTATCTTCTGTCTTCTTAATTCTTCTTCTTTTATTGTCCTTTCCCCTCACTAAAGTCTTCTAATTCTCTTTCACTCTTCTTACTTTCCAGTCAACTTTGATCTTCCAAAATGTCAATGCAATGTCAATCGTTATCTTCTGTCTTCTTAATTCCTCTTCTTTTATTGTCCTTTCCCCTCACTAAAGTCTTCTAATTCTCTTTCACACTTCTTACTTTCCAGTCAACTTTGATCTTCCAAAATTTCAATGCAATGTCAATCGTTATCTTCTGTCTTCTTAATTCCTCTTCTTTTATTGTCCTTTCCCTCTCTAAAGTCTTCTAATTCTCTTTCCTCTTCTTACTTTCCAGTCAACTTTGATCTTCCAAAATTTCAATGCAATGTCAATCGTTATCTTCTGTCTTCTTAATACCTCTTCTTTTATTGTCCTTTCCCCTCACTTAAAGTCTTCTAATTCTCTTTCACTCTTCTTACTTTCCAGTCAACTTTGATCTTCCAAAATTTCAAT